CTATGCAGTTTCCAATTTAAATTTGATCAACACACACAATCAAGAAATAAAAATCATAGGTATCTAGGCTTTTGAAGAAATTGCACAATTTTCATACATATGAAGTACTTTAGTTTTTTTTTTTTCTATTCACTTTGATCATTTTATAATACATAGTGTATAAAAATTTTCCTATCATTGCAAAACACCATTAATCACTTCTAATTTCATATCATGTTTAATAAACATTGGTATCTATGGTTAGATTAAAGGAACGCCTCAATTTCTTTTTTAACATGTTATTTTGAAATACTTTTATGGGATATATATATATATATATATATATAACTATATATATATATATATATATATATATATATATATATATATATATATATATATATATTGTTGCATAAAAAGATTTGATTTTCGGGTTTCCTTTGATGGGAAAGGAACATAATAAACTAAAGGGTCAAAATATTAATTTGTATCAACTTATTCATTTCACTTTGTATTGTCTAATTACAATGAAGAGTTTCAAAACACTTTTCAATTTCCTATTCTTTTCTCTTAGCCATAGGAATATACTATCAGAATAATCAAAACTAAACAAATCTGTAACAAAACATGTCTAATTTGTGCATTTAATTCATGGTTTTACGTCTTTGCGTAAATTGCCAATTATTTTTGTTTTTAGGAATTGTAGTTTCTTTTGAAAGATCATATTTTGAAATAAATTAATCAATAATAAAATGAAATTGTCATGTAACTATGTGCCAAGCAATTCTTGGTAGGATCTTTTATTTTTTAGTTTCTCCGTAGATTGATCTGGGATCGATTGATCGATTGTGAACTTGTCACTTTATGGAAATCTGACCATATAAAGATAGATCAGTGTTTTTTCTTTCATTTCACACTACTTATTGCTCCACTTAAAGCTGAACATGACTCGTAAATAGGCAGAAGCCATATTTCTTTTCCTATATCCAATCCTATCTCCAATATCAGTACTTGGTTAAATACATTGCATTTGTTACACCTGACTGATTTCCTGTCACGAGTTCCTGCATAGAGTGACGACTTTTTTAGTTCACATGTACTTGTGTATTTATTTGTACTGCACTGACCAGATATACGTTTCTTTGGTAACTTTCTCTTCTATCGTGGAAGAAGCTTACAGTAACTTTTGTCGCCATCTAGAATTTTTCAGAAGCAATATGAAATATGTCCGTTTACACTGGTGAAACATTGTTTCATTAAAAAGAGACTAAGTAAACGACTTATAAAGAGACTTACAGATTACGGAAAATTTAAAGTAATATGGCTAAAAATATGTATCTATGCCTTTTAGAAATCATGTTCATCTTCAAGCCTAAAAATTTTGACTCTGTTTTTAGCCAATATAGAGCACATTTTTTTTTTTCAAATTTTGCATTTTATTTAATTTTTTATTCTTTAAATTTCTTTATGGGCATGGTTTATTTAAAGTAAAGATAATAGTAAAGGTATACTGCTGCATAAGTAAGGGAAGTTGACGATTGAAAAGTTAAAGGCATCATGTTAATTATAGAGCTTGGTTGTTAGATTGCCATTAACGTCTTTTTCAAGTAAAATATCCAAAATTGAAGGCCACAGCAAGTGTCTTCTTTTCACACTTAAGAATTTGTATAAATCTGCTTTGTATGAATAGAAAAATAGGTCCGTTAATAACGGGGCGCAATTGGTACCCATGGGAATTTCTAAGATTGTTGGAAGACCTGGTCTCCAAAACGACATAGACATCGTCAATCAAAGAACTCAAGCATCTTTTTGATGTCAACTTCAGAGTACTTGTGTATACAGTTAAAATGTTTTCTAACTAAATAATTATGCAAATTGCTAATGACAATGTAAGTTAAGTTCCAATTTTATTGAAAAAGCAGCTATCAATGATATCAATATGAGAGGAATCCTTTCTTAAGTCAAATTCTGACTGACACTTTTAATACTAATTATTAGGCCATTATGTCAATGAAACATATGTATCGGTAGATATCGAACAGTATTCAAGATCAAAAGTCTATTAAACAATACAAAATAAGAGCAGAGCAAACACGGACCTCCAAAATATCAGAGGTGGTATCAGGTGCCATTGAGGAGTGAGCAACCCCTGCCGACAAGTCACACCCACTGTGTGTTCCTTGTCATGATCAGGAAATAACGCAAAAATCCGTCGCCAACCCAGTGTACAAACAATGGACTAACAATCAGTGTGAAAAACGTCAGACGGCATTTGACTCAAAGATAAATTGTATTTGCTGACAAGGTCATTGTATCGACCATAGAAATTACGATATGATATCTTTAAATGAGACTGCTGATAATCTTGTTTCATAAACTTGTTTGATAATAATTTACCTCGTATTAGAAAGTGTTCATACGTAGGCATGCTCTTGCGTATCGAACCAACTAAGATACATGAAAATACGTATGCAGGTGTTGAATGTATATTGCTGCATATACGTAAGTGAAGTTGACGTTAGAAATATTAAAGTCATCACGTTTATCATAGAGCTTTGTTGTTAGATTATCATTTACGTCTTTTTCAAGTAAAATATCCATATATGAAATAGATGTGTCAAACTCTGTGATATCTTTTATCTCAAGCTCACCATAATATTATATCGTATCGTATAAGAATGGAAATTACGATTCTTAACTGACAATATGTTGTCGATATATCTAAATGTCGAGTTGAAGGCCACAGTAAGTGTTTTTTTTTTATTTTCATGCATAAGATTTAGCAAAAACTGTGCTTCATATTATTACAAAAATAGATCTGCTAGTAACAGAGAGCAATTGGTACTCATACTATTCGTTATCATCATATATATCATCTCTTTAGCTGGCTTCGGTATATATGATATCGATGTCAAAGCAACCTCTTACCAATTGAATTAATTGGGAGTGAAAATCTTCATGCACACTTGATAAAAGAAATTTTCTGTGTAATTTAGGGACGTTGACGATAAAATGTCGAAATCATCACGTTGATTATAAAGATAAGCCGTAAGTTTGTCATCAGTGACTTATTGCAGTAAAATGTTCAAATACAAAACAGCTGGTTGAGACTCTGTGGTGTCTTTTTTCAGAAACGAGTTCAAAAGAAAAATATAGTAATTGAAAACTTCGTCAAAAATTTCTTATATCAAATTGAAAAATCAGAGATCTGGGTTTTGAATAAATTTTGCTTCATGTGAATTCAAAAGCAGGTGTGCTCATAACAGGGCACAAGTAAACACCTTTAGAATTTTAAAATAATGATGGAAGACCTGACCTTAAAAAGCTACTTAGATATTGTCATGATTAAAAGTTCCTTACACCCTTTAACCAATTTCAATGTTATCTTCATCTCTTAATATCTAATTCAAATGAATAGAAACCATTCGTGAATAATATATTCTTTCTTGCCTCGTCCTTTTGACAGGCGTAATAAAATCTCCATTCAACAGTTTTGTGTAATTTGTTACCATGAGTTTTACTGTAATGTTAATTAATTTCTTTAATTCAATAAATTTAATCAACAATATTTTTATAAAATTAAATCATATGAAATTAAAGTCATTTTTTGTCTTTCAAAGGATTTTAAAATTTAATGAATTTCAAGACAGGTTTAGTCAAAAAGATTTGCATCAATGATAGAGTAAGAGTTTCCAGTTTTTAAATAATTAAACAAAGATGCAGTTGAACTTTTCTACTCCTAATTTATTTTCAAAAAGCAAATCGCAGTTTCTGGCGAAATGCCAAATTAAATTAAATTAAATCATTCGCAATTTCGCAATATAAACATTTAATCAAATGAAGTCACCATCATTACAAACCTATCGATGATAATACAAAACTTTGGTTTGCTAATAAATTAGATGATTTCGTTCCCAGGCATTCGGACTGTAATCAAGAAATCTAAGTTATCAATTAATTTTTATTTCCCAAGCATTGTGGCACATATTTGAATCGAATAAATGACTTTAAGAACCTTTTTTCATCTAAAGCTATGTTACAGTAGAAAACGAAACGGGGTAATGAACTGCTTTTTAAATTACATTTGATTAGTCCACATTTTTTTAAAAAATATAAAGTATAAAAAATAAGTTATCAAATTTACAATAATGAAAACGGTTCTAAAAAATGATTATGTATTTGAAATGAAGCTTGCTTCGAATTTTATCAAATTTACAATAATGAAAACGGTTCTAAAAAATGATTATGTATTTGAAATGAAGCTTGCTTCGAATTTTATCAAATTTACAATAATGAAAACGTTTTATATGTATTTGAAATGAAGCTTGCTTCGAATTTTATCAAATTTACAATAATGAAAACGGTTCTAAAAAATGATTATGTATTTGAAATGAAGCTTGCTTCGAATTTTACCGTTTTATAGCCGAGAATTCTTTTTTATTAAACTAGTTTTATCATAAGAAAAAAAGAGAAAACATGTCAAATTAATGAAAATTTATATGCAAAAACACAAAAAAAAGTTTCAAAATGATTTTTTTTTTCAAGTTGAAGAAGTAGTTTTGTGTAAGAATAACATGAAGTTAAATTTGAGAGTAAGAAACGGCGATCAAAGAAGTATTAACGGTATAATAGGAGGTGTTATGTAACTTAACAAAATCCACGTGCAATATGCACCATTACTTTAAAGAATTATTGTTGAAGAACTTAATTTTGAATGACAACTTTTAGATTTCAGTCAGTGGTCTATTCATTTTGAATCACCATTCATTTGATTGACTGTACTTCTTTTTTGATTTGAAGACAATGTAAATGTGCATAAATATGTCAATAGGTCATTTGAAAGATAAGTAAGATACGCTTATGTTTTCATCAAGACAGTAGATTGTTTAAGTGCCATGAATTTGGCATGTTTAAAAATGCATTTCATGGATCATTGCGCAATCGCAGTTGAGGGTAGAAATAGATCAATGCTACCCGGACAAGCATTTCTTTTAGCTTAGACGTTAAAGAGAATGGACATAACATTCTCAAATCGTGTTTGTTATTTAAACAATGCAATTTAAAGTATACTTGCTGTCAATTTAATACGCAGGATAAATACTTCTGGTCTTTTTTTTGTGTTTTTGAAGAGGATAAGATTTCCAAATGAATAAGGGTTTCACTTTCTGTAGCAGATCACGCAGAATTTACAAGGGTTGATTTGGACTACAGAGGGATTTGAAAAAAAACAACAACAGATATTTAGACTGGTTAAATATTGGAGCTTTTTTCGATATTGAAGTTATATTTTTCGTCCTATCTTTGTATATATATTCCTTAATTTTCGAGGAATATGAAGTGGACTCATAACTTTATTCTGTGTTTATTGTTCCTAAAAGGATCGTTTACAGCAAACATCACAGAAGTGGAAACTTTATATAATAATTTGTTGTCTAACTACAATAAATACGTGCGGCCGCTGACTTCCACTGATATCCCAGTGTTGGTGAATACCACGTACAGTCTTGTAGGAATTAAAGAATTTGATGAAGTTAATGGCAAGTTTTCTGTGATCGGCTTCTTCACGATTACATGGATAGATTCCCGTCTGGCCTGGGATCCATCGTTGTACAGTCAATTATACATGACAGAACTTCCCGAGTCCAAGGTCTGGATACCCAATCTTACTCTGATCAATCCTTACGAAAAGATTGAAAACTTGGCCAAGGGACTTTTCCCTGTTACATACGTGTTTAATGGCATCGCTTACTGGTCACCTGGTGAAGTCACATCTACAGGATGTGAGGTAGATGTGACGTATTATCCATTTGATACCCAGTCTTGCAGCATGATGTTGATGTGCTGGGGATACGAACCTACTGCTATCGTCACACAAGCGTCTGACCCAGAGATTGGAATGGCTTATTACGCAGAACATGGTACTTGGGAACTTGTTGATAAGAAGTTAATAACTCATCTTGACTCATTTCATTCTTACATTAGCATTGATATTAAAATGAAAAGACGCCCAGCCTTTGCTGTAATAAACATTGTTCTTCCAATGGTTTTCATGCTGGTTTTGAATCTTCTTGTCTTCATTTTACCCGTAGATGGCGGTGAACGCGTCTCATATGCTATCACCGTATTGTTAGCAATAGCCGTGTTTCTAACTCTTGTGGGAGACAACTTGCCTAAAACGTCGAAACCCACGGCTTTATTGTCGTACTTTCTCCTAGTGGATCTGGTACTAAGTTCTTTGATTTGTTTCTTTGTTATTATCGGAATGTCCTTTTATTATAAAGACAAGAAGGAAACTCCTGTTCCGAAATCACTCGCCAGCATAGTGAGACTGTGTTGTCATCGCAGATGTACCCGTCGTGCGGAGAACACGACAGTTGTAGAAGCGTACGATCCAAAATCGTCACACAAAAAAGTTCCGTTTACGGATGACGACGAAGAAGAAGAGGAAGTGACGTGGAAAATGGTTTCCAAGTGTTTTGATAAATTTATGCTCACGTCTTGCCTTCTGATCATAATTTCTTCGACTGTGGCCTTTTTCGTTATGACAATGTGATTTTATCAGTTCAACAGAAGCTGTTTGCATGAAGCGCACTGGCATGTGATTTTGTCCACATCAAGTTAACTTTTACGTATGAGAAAAGTAAAGAAATTAAGCTGCCCTCCACTTGACACTCAGTAAAAATTGAGGAGTAGCAATGCCAGTATATTAATTAACTTTTGTTTAATTAGTTAAACGATCAACTTAAACGATTTGGGAGATTTTTTAAAAAGAGTCACTAAATTCGACTTCCGAGGAATGTAATTTGAGTGATCTGCCCAATTTTACACAAGTCTTTATGCATTATGAATATTACTTCATAGCAATATTATACTACTATTTACTTAAAATATCATTTGTTACATATTCAGTTGGATATTTTACTTAAAAAGACGTTAATGGTAATCTAATAACCAAGCTTCATGATAAAACTGATTAACTTTTCTAACGACAACTTTTCTTAGTCATGCAGAAAGACGCCTGCATACAGGGTTTATATCTCTCAGTTGATTTGACACGCAAGAGCATACTCTTCATATGAACAATTTCTTGATCTATAAGTTGACAGGTTGATGAAACAAGAATATCAGCAGTCTCGTTTGAAGTCATGATCGGGAAATAACGGGAAAAATCCGTCGATAATTGAATAATTGTATGTTGCTTTATGTCCCATTCGAGAATTTTTACTCATATATAGACGTAGATAAGTTATTGACAAACAGGTTGTTGAAACAAGAATATCAGGAGTCTCGTTTGAAGTCATCATTTTGTAAATTCTATGTTTGACTCAATGACCTTGTCAGTATAACCGTTTAACATTATGTCAAATGTTGACTGACGTTTATCATACTAACTGTTAGGCCATTATTTACACACTTAACTGATTTTTCACCATTCACGGTAGCCCAGTCGTGATCAGGAGATCGTAAGTTCGAATCATGGCCACGACTGACCTAAGTATTAAAAAAAATGGGTTATAAATGTTCATTCACAATCCGCTTGGCACTACGAAGTGAAAGTTGCGGGCCCTTAGGATGAGACATTAAAAAACAAGACTCCGTGTCACGACAGACATTGGCACGATAAAGATCAGTCACTGCTCAATGGCCCTGAGTGCCGAGTAAAGGTCAAAAGAAGATGGGCGTATTTGGCGTGTAATCTACAGGAATCATTTGTACGAAACATTTATGATATAAATGTCCATGATTTGGTTTGCTGAACATAGCTGGTCAGATTTTACAAACACAACCATAATTTTTCTTTTCATCTTGTTTGAAATACCTTGTCAGATTGTAATATTTATGACCATTTTTCCTAGGAGGTAAAATTACATAATGTTTCACAAAAAATAAACACCTATAAGATTAAAGGCATTAGATGATAAGTGTACATGTACATCATAGAATATATAGAAGATTGGAATCAATTTCGCTCTAGAACCAAACTGAACCAGAATATATCTAATTCAAAATTTTTATACATCAGTTTATAAAATGAAACTGACAAAATAATTGATTGTTTGTACGAGGGACATTCAATAAATAATGTCATTAGCTCGATGGCATACAACATAGTAGTCATATGACATAAAGCTTGACTTTCTCTCATTATTGAATCTTTAATGAATTGATAACAGTTTGTGTGACCACTTTTCATCGCATTATTTCATCGTGGGAAGCTGGAAAACAAGGGCTATTCGAGACACTGCATTAAAAATGAATGGTCAAGAATCAGTAAGCTAGAGTAAAATTAAACGCTTCATTAAAGCAGCTGTAAAACTTGTTAGAATTCCAAAAATATATTAACTGAAATATGTGAAAGTTACAACAACCAATGCCTGTTTTATAGACAGGTGAACATGTAGATTTCAATGAACAAAAATTATATAATGGGCATCAAAAATGGGTACCGTCCTTGGCAACATGACTTACAACAACCGATGTAAATTTGCGAAATTTCAACAAATTATCACTGATTATGTTTTACTGACTTTAAGACACATAGCAAAATTGATAAAAATCATTCTGGGGATAGTTCATACTGTTTTAAATAAACATTTTACAGTAAAAAAGTTTAATACTCAAAGGCCACCCTATATTTTGAAAAATGAGTGAAAACGACAGCGTGTAGGAATATCCAAACAATTCTTTTAAAAAAATCAAAAATTGTACTTATCCACGTTTGTGTGAAATTCTAACAGATAATGAAACTTGAATCCATTTTGCTTTAATCCCTCAAAACAAATTTACAATAAGATGCACATGACAAAACTGCAAAGGCCTAAGAAGAGCAGAGAATTGCAGGAGCATAAAACAGTTTTATATGCTATTTTCTGAAATATTAGCGGTCTTGTTTCTCAAATTCATATTCGGGGAGGAAGTTCAATTATCTGAAGGAGTCTAGAAAACAAATTTTTTTGCAAAAAAATTGAAAGGTTTATGAAAGGAAGGAAAAAGAATGAGGAATACACTACATTAAATGTCTTCATGACGGCGGCCAAACCCACAGGCCATGAAGAGTAAAGGAGTTTTTGGGGATAAACAGAAAGTAAATGTTTTGTCACACCAGCAAAATTTGCCAGATCTTTCAACCTTTGACTAGTTTCATTTCCTAAACTTAGAAAAACATTTATCAGAAAGAAAAAAAACAAGTACAGCAAATCATAGGATCTGCCATATTCCAGTATACGAAGGGTCATACTAGTACTCAAAAATGTGTTCGAAAAACAATTAGAAATTGAATGAAAATGTTACGGATATGCGTTTTAATTGAAAGAGAATATTTTAGTTAAATCATTAAGACTAAGTCATAGAAAAGCGTTTTTTGTTTCTTTCCGAGCCCCAATGACATTATTTATTGAACGCCCCTCGTATTTAAAAAAATATAACGTCCCATGCGAGGCTCGAACCAAAAACTTTACATATCTAATGCAGTGAACAGGTAGCCCATATTACTGAGCTATCACCGCTACGAATACAGTGCGGTTTTAAAAGGACAAAGGAACATCACATTTACACAGTTGGATTTTTTTTCGGGAAAAAGTTCATTTTTTATCATCTCTGGGTCTTCTCTCCATTTTTTTTTACAAATGTATATTCGTTTCTTTGAATTAAAGTGCACACATATAACGTTTCAAAATCATGGAGAGAAGACCCAGAGATAGAAAAATATTAGAGAAACGTGCTTAAAAACCTACCATTTTGTACGAAATGTCTAACCTAACCAATTTTCAAGTTATTTTTTAGCAAATCAATATTCACTTTCGGGAAAGTATTTTCCTTTCCTATTGCACATGAACCTAATAATTAAAAAAAATGTTAAAATTTCATGTGAAACGTCGATAAAATTTTCACTTTTAAAGTACGCCCTGATTCCTGCCGAATGCCTATCAAAGGCGCCCTCGTTCTTTGTAGCCCTTTACCGGTCTATATACTAATGGGACGTAAAACAATATACAATCATTCAATTATCGACGGATTTTTTCCGTTATTTCAAGATCATGGTAAGAGCAAACGGCTGATATGACTGGTCGACTCGGGTTTCTCACTCCCATCTCATGTTTAGAGGTCCATGTTCACTCACTCCTCCATGTCACCTGATTCCACTTCTGATGTTTTGGAGGTCCGTGTTTGCTCTACTATTTTGTATTGTTTTATGTACTTTGAGCTCGAATACTGTTCATTATATCCATATACCGGTATTTCATTTCAATTATTTATAACAATAAAAGTAAACAACAGTGATTTGTATACACTTGTATATCATTGTCTTTAAATATAATTTCAGACACCTATTGTTGAAAATCGACTGGGTAAAATTCATATGAAAACCGTTATATGATTTGAAATTGTCAAAGCCCAAACATATTGCATTATATAGTGTTAAGAGCTCCCTTACTTTAAAAATGTATTATTATAATTTATTGCTTTTATTGATAACTTTCTTGAAGTGAAATTAAGAGTTATTTATAATTTAATTGTTGTAAAAAAAGAATTTGCTGTTTCATTGATTTTAGCTGCAGTTCATGAAATACTTGATTATTGCAATGTTTTTTTTTTTGGTTGTTTTTTTTTTGTTTTGCCTCTTTAATATAATTAAATCTACATAATTATCTTCTTTTCCTAGTTTTAAAATTGTCGTAATATGGAATTGACAATTTTTTTTAATAAAACCTGGAAGATATATATTAGGTTCTGCAGACTACGATTTCAAATTGAGCCTCTTAAATTTGATCACATCACGACGATGTTTAAGAATTGTAAAAATGAAGTTACTGAATGAAGTTTTAAAAAATATTATGTCACTAAACGGTAAAATTATAAATTGGAAACACAATGATTTAAAATTGTTTCCAATGATAAACCTTTTGTCAGTATACTCAACTATGTTATATCTTTTATATCTATTTTCAATAACAAATTCAACATATATCTGCATGAAAAGTCTCAAATTTCCAATTTCTTTTGAGCGGTACAAACAAAATCGATGTTGGATCGCTGAGAGATATACTACGAGTACTACATGTAGTACATGACATTCGTTATGTCACACTATTGGCGGGATCAGTAAGATCTCATTAATTATCGCGAGATAATGTCAAAATAAAAAGTATCAAGGTATGATAAAATATATAGATTGACTTTGTTCTACAGAAAAATGCATTTTGTCGATCTCTCGAAGCAAAGTGTTTGCCTATGTTCAATAAAGCTAACGATCTTGTTCTTGGGCCCGACAAAAGTATGCATTTTGCCATCGAACCGAGTCAATAAATGTATCAATTTTTTAAAAATGTATATATAATTGCTTAGATCCATATGTCAAAAATTGTGGAAAACCTATGGACGGAGTCAATTCTAAGCGGGACTAACGCTTCCATACGCTACATAATTAACTGCATCTGTATTTAATTACACCGGAGATACATTCCTTTGACTTGACCTTCGTGATTTGCATAAGGCTAATTATCAAATATAATCAAATGATTTTTTTTTCAAACATTTGTTATGTTTACACAAAAGTACAAGACAGGGAAACTTTTATTATTAATTAAAGGTTCATTGTGGAAAAACTTTTTTGCCGAGGATTTCGAGAATCGATTTATTTCTTCAAACACCTAGTTCTTCTGTTAAAGTACGAAGACAAATAAATTTGTGTATATTGAAACCCTCTGAGCAATAAACCCTTGTCTGTATCGAGAATAATTTCTATAACAGCCAACACTTATGGTCATTTCTTTTTTAAAATTC